CTCCCGGAGGTCCTCAGGGTCGGCCATGTTTCGGGGGAACTGGGGCAGTGATCCCACAGTTTTGAGGTGAAGCAGGCAGCCCCACCTTGCTCAACGCAGCACTTACTGACTGTGCTGGGAGGGGCCTGGGGAGGGAGGGAGTCCCAGCTTGAGTGACCGGACGGGATTCACTGGGTGGAGTGGGCGGTGAGTGTGGGTGCTGCGGGTATGCGTGTGTGAGCATGTATCTCTGTGTGTATATGAGTGTGTGAGCATGTATCTATGTGTGTATGAGTGTGTGAACATGTATCTGTGTGTGTGCATGAGTGTGTGAGAGTGTGTGTGAACATGTATCTGTGTGTGTGTATGAGTGTGTGAGCATGTATCTGAGTGTGTGTGTGTGTGAGTGTGTGTGTGTGTCAGAGGCAATCTTCTAGGAGTGGCCTCAGGAGGAACCTCAACGGGACCTCCAGCCCTCACCTCCAGCCCGTCCTCCAGGGCGGGTCCCGAGGGCACAGGGCTGCCCCTGGGAGCTTGGCTTGCTTTCAGCGCGGCCTGAGTTTCTGATCCCATCTCGTTATTTCCAAGTCCCAGCTTGAGTGACCGGACGGGATTCACTGGGTGGAGTGGGCGGTGAGTGTGGGTGCTGCGGCGCCTCAGGAGGAATACGGGACCTCCAGCCTGTCCTCCAGCCCGTCCTCCAGGGCGGTCCCGAGGGCACAGGGCTGCCCCTGGGGCCTTGGCTTGCTTTCAGCGGGGCCTGAGTTTCTGATCCCATCTCGTTATTTCCTCCTTTCCCCCGGATCTGCTTGGTGAATGAGGCCCCCCCAGCAAAGCCTGCTCACAAAAGGTGAGGAGAGGGACCGCAGGAGGTAGGCCAGGCGGGTGATGTTATGGGTGGGGGTCAGGGTGCTAAGAGCAGCGGGGGGGACAGGGCAACAAGGACACGCCTGGTGGGAGGGGCCTCAGCCATTCCCTGGTGTGCTTCCTGCAAGGAGCCCCTCCCACGGGCCTGCTGTGTCCGTTTCTTCCCGTCCCATCCTGGTCTCCCTGCCTGCTCCTGCCCCCTGCGCCCTCCGCGCCCTCCGCGCCCTGGAACCCCGGGAGCTGGGCTGAGCTGGAAGCAGGCAGAGCAGACACTGCGGCCAAATCCCCACCTCCTCTCGGCTGGCCCACCTCGGAGACAGAGGAGTTCTGGGGGTGCGTGAGGTCTCCCCAACCCCTGCACCGGGGGGATGGGAGGGCATGTGGGGCCTCACTCATTCCCTGGTCTCCATCTCTCCATGGGGGGCCGGGGGTGTGTCTGGGCCTCCTGCCCAGAGATGTGTGGGATCAGACTGCACACCTGGCCCGGCCTACAGCGCCCCTGCACCCCACCTGTGCGATCGGAGGTCCTGGGGGCACTTCTCTCCCTCCCTGGGCCCGCCCAGGCGGTGCCGGGAGCGGCTCACCTCCGGCCGGCCTCGGCGT